GAAAGAGTGCCAAACCTTTTGCGTGTCCGCGGGTATCTGGGACCCCTGAAGTTCTCGTCTAGATTTTGTTTTAAAAACAAAAACCAGAAGCACCACCTAGGCGGTGCCCTAACACACAGCCTGAACAGAAGGAAGGTGTAACTGTCTAGTCTGCACCAATCTCAACTTCAGGCTGTGCCAGGCAGATCTGAACATATCAAATGTACCATTTAATTAATTAAGCATTGAAGGGATGACCAGTTTTTTTTAAAAAAACAAGGACAAGAGTGGACTTACAGGCTAAAAGATAAAACAGTACCTATTACATCAAGACCTTCAGGCTACCAACAGGTCAAGTAAACCAGATGCTTTGGCAGAACGACAGAAAATAAAGGGACATATGCTGGGTGCAGGGAGAAGAGGAGGAGGTTGTTTTTACTGAACAAAATTAATAACAGGACCTGCACTACTTCTAACAGGATGATTTAAAACTGCAAGAAATGCATTTATGGTGACAGTACTCAAAGACCAGTGAAGAAAAGGACCCTTCACACCAAAACCTCTATGGATTACACTCGTGCTTCAGAGACTGCGGCCCAAGCGGACACCATGGACGAAGCCGAGGGAAATGTTGCATGTCAAAGTAGAATGAAACACATCATGGTGGTAAACAGCATTTCCTCATTAAGATCTTCAAACCAAGAGGAGGTGGGAGACAGGTGTGGAGGAGCTTTCACCTAGAGGGAATCACTCAGACATTTTTACCACTTTAACAGCAAAGGACTGTTTGGTTTCAGCAGAAAGAGAATCACCTCTCCTCACCTGGCCGAAAGTGACTGCACAGAGTAATTTGGACTGCCTTTAAAAAGATCAAGTTACAAGTATTAACCTTTTACAGGACTTGTTGCCCATTAATTTAAAATTTGGCCCTGCACTGAGAAGCTATGCAAGAGAGAAATGAAAAAGGGAAACTCAGGCAGATCTAGTAATTCTCGTTAATTGCAGGAAATGAACGTATCCTGGAAGGAGACAGCCCAACAAAAATGGGGGAGGAATAGCAAACAGACATCACTTTTTTTTTTTTTTTCCCTGGGACACTCAGACTGCCTTCTAAAGCAAAGTATTTCCTCAACTTTAAACAAACAAACAAAAAGCCCCAACACTGACTTGTTACTCAGCTTTCCACACTTGTGGAGCATTCAGGGCTACTGAAGCAGAGCGCGCAAGTTTTGCGCAGATACTGCAGTAGTTCCACTTCCATTGAGAGGGGTCTCCGGTTTTTGACATGAAAGTCAGCTGCCTGGCACAACCAGTACCCTCCCGTTATCAGTAGCATAGGGCCATAGTAGAAGTAGTTGAAGCACCAGAAGATATCAGCACATACACAGAGCACCCTTCTCAGACTAGCGTGTGTTAGACTCTCCAGGTACAAAGAAACACAGTATGCTCCAATTTTTATTTTCCTTCCTGGCTCAGTCTTGCAACAGGCTTAATGTTCTGGCCTAATCCAGGGGAATACTTTAACCTCTCATTTAAAGTCTAAGGATGTGTGTGTAACACTTTTGGAATTCAGGCATTTTACTCCACTAGGTCAGCATGCTCAATAACTAACACAATACAGTCCTGCTAAGCTAAACACCACATACCAATAATCACAGCACAGATGTTTTACTGGTCGGACAATTGAGGGGCTATTAATTTCCTCCGCATTGAGCTAGAGCCTTTGGGAAGTCACAAAGCCTCACAGCATCTTTCAGCCCGCTCTGAATTGGCAGCCAGGTATACCACGCACATTCAGTATCTGCTCTCATGCAGAACATATCCATCAGATACAGCACTCAAAGGACACCAGCTTTCAGTGAGGTTAAGAACTCCCAAACCTATCCAGCTGGTGGGATGGGAGGGATGGCATAACATTTTTGGCAGTTGTTCACAAAAAACCTAGATTGTTTCATAGTAGGCATACATCTCCTATATTTGTGTGTCTAAATTATTGGATGTTATTCAAAAAGGACATTTTATTCCTCACCTTAAACCCAGACTTTGCGTTCTTCAAAAAAAGTGGGATAGCCCTGCAACATGCATTTCAACCTCCTTGACAAGCATCTTAAGTAACTTTCCTGTTAGATTCACATGCTAAAACTAAGACTTGTGTACTCTCACCCAAGACCAGAGGCACTCTCTGTTCCAGCCTAGGGCTCCTCAGCAAGTATCCTAAACCAGAGAGGTCATTTAGGCTCGAAGGTACCATTGCCTGAATTTTCCGTGTTCCAGTATTAACGTGCTAATACACGAATACTCTAGCAGGGATGCCACTATTGAGGCTTATTTTGTTCTATGCAATGGCCGCAGGCATCCCTAAAACTGGTCCATGCTCACAAAACTGACTTCAGTACCTCAAAACTACTTCTCTTCCCAAACTTTGCTGAAGGATCCTTTTGAGGAGTTCCATGATGTTCTGCAATAAATTCTGACACTTTGAACATCAAAAAAGCAAACCTTGGCAATATACTCAAGAGCTGTTTCTGCAGAATATTACTTGGGGAGGGGGATCACAAAAAGTGAACCGAAGTTGTTCTAGGGGCTGTGATTATTTTTGCTTGATATACTTGTACTCTGGATTCTCATGTAGTACTTCCTTCAAAAAGAAAAGTCATCCTTACAAGGTGGGCAGAATTCGGATTAAAATTGTCCAAGCAGAAACCCTTGTAGGCCTCCCTCAGAGCAGAAAGCAGAGCAGCCCAGAGACCCTTCTCCCTCTTTGCAGGTTCTCTGAATTCAAACAATTCTTGTCATTTCAGCTGGTCTAGGTTAGTATCCATACACAAAGAAGTTTTAGCAATCTGGAGTCGTCAGATGCATCCAGAAAGCAGGCTGAAGAATGAAACAATTGATTAAAAGGCAGTGGATACACACACCCCACCCCCAAAAAAAAAAAAAAACCACAACCCAACCAAAGCTTCCCCTGCCTTTTAACACCCTGACCATGGGATGCTCTGTTAGTCCTCCCCCCGCTGCAGGGCCAGGGAGACCTGCCTCCGCTGGAGGACGGGAGGACAAACCAACCGCCTCGCAGAGACCTGGGGACAGTTACCTCACCTGACGTGATTTATTGCTAAATGCCTGGGGAGCAAACAAAGGGAACAGAACGCCCAAAGCATTAACTTTGCTAGCCGTAACTTTAGTAACTTAAAAGCTGCGTCAAATGCAGGGAGTCGGTATTTGCCGAGGACTCTGTCATGTTACCCAGCAAACTGCATTTAGAGCTTCTCCAAAGCTGGGAGTCCACCTAAGGACACGTTCAAAGTAAACCAACAGCCTCAGTTCTGCCCGCTCTCCGTACAAGCACGGCAGTTCTTCAGACAGCGACCGGGCTGCTTTGCTTATTGCGGGGCATTTTGCTGGTTTTCTAATCCACGCGTAAACGAGACACCAACTTCTAGAAAAGCCATTACAAGCCATGTCTGTACCGCTTTCAGCTCCTTTACAGTCTGCCAGGGAACAGGATCCTACCTCTTACTCGAACTTCAGCATTTATCTGCTGGAAGAGAGGCAACGCTATTTCTGCAGGTCCGCAACACGCTGGGTTTTTACGGGCCGACATCAGCATCCCCTTGGCGTTTAACGCAACGCGTCACCAACGCCCCGGCTGAGTTACAGCCGCTGGGAAGTTGCGGGCGGGTATTTTCAGGGAGCAGCTTTCGCGGGTTTAGTCTTGCACAGTCCCGATCAAGGAGCGGAGCGCGGGGAGCGCTGTGCCAGCCGCCGGCCCCGGCCTGGGGACCCTGCTCGGCGGCCGGGCGCCTCGGCAGGGGAGGGGGGGCGGAGGAGGGAAGGGGACAAAGCGGGACCCAACCTTCGTCCTCAGGGTCTGGTGGATGTCTGCTGCCAGCTCCCCTTCCCACCACTGCTGCTCCATCCTTTTTCTTCCCAGCCGGCGA